AATATAAAAAACGACAAATGAAACAATAAATTAAAAAAATTGTCTTGGATTTTATTCTGAATTTTCTTGGATTGTAATTGAAAAATCCAAAAATACTAAAGATTGTTTTCACATATCAGAAAAAATTATATATTATATATTCGATACATATGAAATTTTTTTATATATGTAAGAATGTGTTTGCTTACTAATTTTGTATATATTTATTTAACAATATCAAATATTTAATATGATATTCTGTTTCAAATCATGACCTATACCAAAATTATCGTCGTCACACAAGCAATTTCGTTGTATACGAAATAACACACGAATAATATAAATATGCTAAAATGTGTTTCGTAAAACACTAAAGAGTGGGAAAGAATGACGAAGATATGAGGTTTTTGAACTCCATGTGCTCTTAAAATAATCGTCCTAAATTCGTATAAATATAAACAATGAAAACGAAAAACTTAAGAAAATATTTGGGAAAAATAATGATAAAATCATGGAACCCTCAAAAACCTATTTTGACGTGGAAACTTATTTTTAGATACTACTGCTTGATGTGAGTTTGTACCTAACGATGCAAGACCAAGCGTTTACTACAAAGCTACAAACACCACTTATAATCAGACTACAAAAAAATGCATATTTGCAGTTTACTTTTGCATATAAAATCAAGACAAATTTGTTGAGCAATAAAAAATCCACATAAATTTCTGTTTCGTGATCCAAGTGCATTCATGGAAATATTTAAACCATAAAAAATAATTATAGCATGACGTCGATTAATATAAACTGTTTTAGAATCAATCTCAATATATGTTTATAATAAAAAGTGAACAGTACTTATTAGAGAAATTCTAATAAAACATTCATCAAATAGACATTAGGTCGACCGTTGGGTTGCCGTCTAAAAAAATTATTTAATAAGTTGTCATACAATACACAACTTGACGATAATAAGTGATAATTGCTATTAATAATAACAATATTAAAAATAAAAATATTAAATACTACATATTTATTGTATTTTCTGAAATTTTCAGATTTTTTTATTATTAGTAATAATTGTTCTGATATTTTAACAAATGATTTAACAAACTTGAATGGTGTTTTTTAACAATTTATTATTTTTGTAGCAATGGCCCAGAAAATCAATTTTCACTTGATATATTTTTTTTAGATTTTTAATTTTATCGGATATAAAAGACTGCTTGTTATCAAGCTGGTCATTGTGGATATCGAACATAGAACTAGTTATTACTAATTTAATAATTAGTGATATATATTTATTTAATTAAATCAATTATTTGATATGATATTCTGTACATAACCTACATAGCATATACCAAAATTATTTAACTACTTTTATATATTATTTTTATATAGGTAAATTAATTAAGTAACTACGCATGATGATTTTTACATAGTAAACCTAATATTGATTTTGAAAAAAAAATCATTTGCTTTCACATTTAAAAAAAAATAAATTAAATTTGCAATTCCAAGATTAAAATATTATGATTTTACGTAGTAAATTAATTTTAATTATGACCACGAAATTGATATGAATAAAACGTTTACCTATCTGATGCCTAAATTAATTCATATATAAAATAACAGACTTCTTAATCGAATAAATCATGCATATTATTAGTTCTCATTAACACTTGTATTTGCTCACCAATTTATTAAGAAAATTTCCGATCGGAACTTTGCCAAAACGTCTCAGAAAACTAATAGTTTGTTATTGTGCCAAAAAATCAAATGCAGTTTCATGACTCGAACGAATTTTTATGAATCGGATTCAATAAACATTTTTACAAAGAAACATCATAATGTATTTTTAGTAACAATAAAATGATTAACATAAAAATGGACTTTCTGTAAAATTATAATAAGATCGGAATTATTTTTAAAATTATTATTTTTCAATTGTCGATTTGTTCTCATACAACAAAGGTGCTTATCACGACAGTATATTATCATTTAAATGGCTTTATGAACATATGCAAACAAAACGTTATCATAAGAATTAGTATACATTAGGTTCAAATTATGTTAACATTTTGAATCAACAAGTCTAAACATACTATAAAAATAATTATTTGCACATTCGAGGTAGTATTTAGTATTTTATTTATAACATATCATATAATTAAACATTACTAATAGATAGAAAAATTATTAAAGAGTCTGCATAGAATAGTAGTATATAGTAGTAGGTGGCTAAATACTCAAATTTGTCAAGGTTTTAAAAAAATTTTAAAAAACTTGAACATTCACTAATTTATATATGAAATATTTTAATTAAAGATTTGTGATAAAAAATTTCATTTCATAGAACTTTCAGTAATTGATATAAAGGACATTAGTACAAGTCAATAATTTAAATTGTGCATTTCCTGATTAATTTTTATTATGTACCTACCGTATTGCATTTATACAAATAATTTTAAATGTCAACACTTCTTATAAATAAAGTAATGTAATTTTCATAAGGTATTTTAAAAATTAAAATAAACATTTAAAATATTTTTTTTGGCAAATTTGTTAATTATTTTTTCTTTTAAATCAGCGATTATTTTACACCATATACTGATGGATTATAATCCATTGAATATTGTTTTAAAAATAAATATATTAATAATGAATGTATTAAAGTTATCATATAAATATATTATTAAATGTAAAAAACTAAAATTATATCGAAAATTACAAATTTAACATACTGATTCAAAAATTTTCTATCCTCAATATTGCTGAATTCCTCGTATGATTTATTAGCAAAACACACAATCAAAATAAAATTCATTGTACATACTTTGTAAATTTTCCAGTAAATTCTTATTTTGTGTTTATTTGTGTCTGCAAGTGGCAACAATTTTGCCAAACGACGAATATGACCGACTATATATAGAAGGACTGTTTTTAGATTTTGCACAGTTCTTCGAGTAAAACGATTGCACGTTTTCATATTGAACAGAAATGCATTTTGAATTATTGCAATATAATAAGGAATTATTTACAATTAAAAATTATAATATGTATAATTATTATGCTTCTATTCAAGAAAATATCCTTATATAATTTTTGATATTTTGGTCATAAATTGGTGACCTAAACGTGATTTGAAATACAAATGAGTTTGTTTCACTCGGTTTTTGTTGCAAAGTAATTATATATTATGCAATTATTATGTAAAATTTTTATATACGTAATACGTAACACCACTTTTAATTTCTTTTTTTATTATAATGTTCTTGCATAATTTCTTATTTGCATTAGTAGGTACTGAGTGCAATTTGCATTGTAATGATTCGAGTCACTCTTATTTTATGAACTAATGGTGTGAGAATGTTTATAATTAAATATAGAAAATATTTTTCTATGTTGGCATATGTGTGATTAAAAAATTTCAAATATCTAAATTCTATGCACCATAAATTTTTAAACAAATTGATGTTTGTCGTTTTGTTGTCAACATGCCATAATTTAGATTTTATAAAATCAGAGTTTGAAAACTTGAATTAAAAACAGAAATTATTCGGATTTTTTTTATGTACACTAGTATATTAAATTATTTTTCATAGCCATATTTTTTTTTAAATAAAAAAACTGAATCAAAAAGATTTACTATTTATTTAATATGTATTGAAATGTTCATTAAGGAAAATAATAAAAACAAAATCTAATTACAATTTCAACAGCAAAAATATGAATATATATGTGATAAAAATTAAAACTATAGTTAATAATTTGATAATTAACAAATAAAAAATATAAGATCACAAACACTGCTATTATATATTATTATTTTTTGGGGTAGCTATTATGATTTTTAAATTTTAAATGAACTCAAAGCTATCCTTTTTTCTTCAGAAAATTATTTATTTAATTTTTTAGTTATTTTATCCAATGAGAATATAAGTTATCCCATCCTTCAGACAATTAAATCAATCTACTTTTTATGAAAGTAATTCATAAATAATGAATTCCTTCAATTTTAAAATAATTAAATAATTGCATTAATGTGTAATGATAATTTTTTTCAGGAAAATGGACTGGACATTCCATCAAAAACGTTGGATAAAATGATTGAAAAATCATATTTATATATATTTGGAGAAAAAAGCAATTCCTTTGGTTCCAATATTAAAAAAATCTAGTTAATTAAAATGAGTAATTGTGAAATTTCCAAGGCACTCAAGCTAAAATTAATTAAATCTATGTTTAAAAAGTTTCAATTGTAAATTTTTAATGGAATATTTCAATTGCATATTGGAATTCGAATATAAAATTACATATCAACAATGTTTTAATCTTCATGTAGTTATTTTGTTATCTTCTGTTACCAATGGCCATTTTGCTGATAGTCATACAAACAAAGTACAATTGACTTCAACTTGACTATTGCATAGATAATGAAAATGTTCATTGTGTTTGGACTGAAATAAATCTATATACAATAATTACAGAACGTTCACGAAGAATCCTAGTTGAATACAAATGCACATGTGCGGGAAGTACGATAAGGTCATTCTGATAATTTATTGTTTTAATCAAGCATTCAGTAAAACATTACATTGCATTGTGAAGTCGTGCAAGTCGGGGCTTTGTAGTGGATTCCGCACGCCCACTTCTGCAAGCTGCAATTATACAAAAAGTAAACAGCAAAAAATAAAAACAACAATGCTCATACATTACAAAATAATATATTTACCATTAAATATAAAGATTTCTTTTAGATTATTGTCAAACATAACATTTAGAAATTTTTATATAAATATAACATACATTAAAGTTTTCATTAACATTAATATTTCTGGCAGACCGACATGTTTGTTAGAAAAATTTTGATATGGTTTTATTTTTGATCTATTGTTAAAAATATAAACCGAAACTATAACGTTTCGGCTATGATTTAAATTCTTTATATAATAAAAATATAACTTTAAATGCCAATCAACATTCTGATGAAGCTCTATATTAAATACTGATATGACATTAAATATATCTTAAAAAAATTTTGTAGTCCCTTAATTAGTTCTGATATATAATTTGTCAGCCTTAAATTACATTAACATAGCAGATACGTTTTTGATGAGGTCTATACATACATATACATAATTAGTCGTCGTTTTTGACTATTTCAATAAAATATACAATAATATTAATCAATAAAAATAATCGTCTTTATAAATTTAAATCTTAAACGTTAAACACACGATTTTTATTGGCAATTTTACGGGAATGTATAACACTACAGCAAACACGTCGTAAGAATAGCTTCACACACACTGTAGGGATCGCAATTTGATGACGGGCGCCTGTCCTCGAGGTATCCTTTGTTTTGAGCGGCGACCGCCCGCGGGATGCGGATAGACACGCCGCGGGAAGCGACTCCCGAACTGAAATCGTGAATTGAAGAAGTCTCCAAACGGCCGGTCAAACGCCTCTCGTTGTCCCGTCCTCCACGTGGATCGTAAGCTTTGATATGTTTCAAATGCTGCTTACTCAACAACTCGATAGCCCTCCTGATTTCCTGGATTCCGTTCTCTTGACGCATCAATTTTGTTGAGAAGTTCGTGTGTGCCCCAGCACCATTCCATTCTCCAACCATAGGTTTAGGATCGAACGTCACAACCACACCAAAATCTTCAGCAACGCGGTGTAAAATGTACCGCGACATCCACAAATCATCGGCCGCTTGCATACCTACTCCAGGGCCTACCTGGTACTCCCATTGCGCAGGCATTACCTCAGCATTCGTGCCGCTGATTCTGACACCGGCGTAAAGGCATGCCCAAGTATGTGCTTCAACCAAATCTCTTGCAACAACTTTATCAGCTCCTACGCCACAGTAGTAGGGTCCTTGGGGTCCTGGAAAACCTTGCGCTGGCCATCCTAAGGGCCTGCCGTCTGTATCCAGTAATGTATATTCTTGTTCAATACCAAACCAAGGTTCGTGTTCTTTAGTCTTGTCAACGGCATCTTGCATAGCCATGCGATGGTTGGTGTCCGCGGGCGATCCGTCAGGCTTGTATGTATCGCACAACGCGAGCACGTGGTGACCACCGCGGAATGGATCTTTGTATAAAGCTCGTGGAACCAATGATGCATCACTGTCACCTCCGAGAGCTTGGTATGTAGAACTACCGTCGTAGCTCCATTTTGGCAGATCTTCTGGTTTTGTAGGTTTGATTTCAAGGACGCGATCCTTAGCGCGCAAGTACTCACCCGTACCATCGATCCACACGTAAGTGACCTGCGTGAACCGATCGTCTTGAGGAAGACGAGTGTACCTTTGCAAGATTGATTTATCTAGGTGAGCGTTTGGTGAATCCTGAAGCATCCTGTTCATAGCAACAGCTGATTGGGATATCAGCCTGCGCTGTCCGGACTGGACCATGGTGCTCTTGACGAGCAATCCTACACATCTCATCGCCATAACGAAATACGAAAATTATTACTGAACCTTCGAAAAATCAGGAACCCCGTTGTAAATGATAGATGGACACACACAACGCGCGTTTGAAATGACCGACACTGTCGTACTGAGAAGTCGAACACAAAGTGGTTTCGTGATATTAACTCCGGAGTCTGTAAATTGTCTCTGAAGCGGGGGTATCGCGCGGGCTTCACGTCTCGACCGGATCGATCGAGCTTCGCTTTGATACTGCTACAATGCTACACACGCGGGGACCACCGTACGGCACAAACAGCTGTTTCGGGTACACAACACAGAGCCGCAATTGAAATTAGAAGAACAACTGACTGACTGACTGACTGACTGGGCTTAGAGAGCAGGAGCACTATCATCGGATCGGGGCGATGATAACAGGAACCCGACTGAATGCACTTGGTGGGGGATCACGATTCACGACTCGAAACGACTGACTATCACAGTCGCAGTGACAGGTATTTCACTTACACATTTATTTATCCTGTGACGCGGTTTACCGACCGACTGACGAGTACTCGATATAAACACTACGTCGTATGACAAAGCAATGTTGTCATCGAGGACTTTGCCCCCCCTATGGAGCGCATGCATTGCCAGTGTGCCATCACGTGGCCGGAGAGTGTTGCTCGACATAAACAAAGACCACTGAACTTCGCCTTAGGGATGTGCATACAAAAAATCGATATGATAATCATAGATTCACGAATAACAACCAACGAATCTTGAAGTAAGTTACTAAAAAGTAATTGTAAAAGTAAATATGTATATTTGAAGGTCATATTATTAATGCATGTGGGTCTTAAAATATCTTGTGCTTGGTTTAATTAAATTATTTATTAAGCTCTCTGTTTATAATACTCAGAATATTAGTTTTTCAGCATTAACTGCAAGATTATAATTTTAGAGTAAATTATACTTATTCAGTTGAATTAACTAACTTTTATTCATATAATAAAAATCCACATTTTTCAATAGTGACAATTTAGTAAAAAGAGAAAAAAATTTAATCGTAGTCAGTCTTATATGTGTGACATAAAAAATAGTTTTTTCCAAGAATTTTAGCAAAAAAAACTCCTTCGATTCATTGAGTTTTCTTGAGACATTTTTAACTAAATTATCTAATAGAGTGACCATAGCCCATGTGAAAATATTCTGATATTATTTGTAATTAACGTGTTAAAATCACCTAACATCTATCATTCATTTTATAAATGCACACTCGTAACAAAATTTAATCAAAAACTAGTGGGGTGTATGGCATCGTGCCTTAAGGCAAATTGCTGGAACTTCCCGTACCGTAACGAACGAGGAATATTTAATGTTTTCAAATAGATTATTATAAATATTGTAGCATTAAACATTGTCTAATATTTATAAGAATTATATAAACTGAAAATTTTTTTTTCCCAAAATCAATTATTTTGTCAAAACAAGCAGAAAGTTCTTTGAATCATTCTAATCGGACGTTTAGTTCTTTCAAAAACTGCTATTTTTTGCACATTTAGCTCCATATCTTTGAAATGGCTGGGCCTGCCTTTGCCAAAAACTAATAAACACTTTTGCCAATCAATACTAATTGAATGTTTTTTAGATCATTCAAATCGAATGCTCCGTTCACTCAAAAACTCGATTTCTATTTTCTGCACTCTTTGCTCTTTATCTCCGTAACTGCTGGACCTGCCTCTGCCAAAAACTAATCAGCATATCTCCCTATCGATAGTAATCGAATGTTTTTTGAACCATTCAAATCGGTTGATTAGAGCGCCTGAAAACGTGGGCAAAAAATTGTATCCATACATACATACACACATACACACACACATCCATTTTTTCTGAAGTATGCCAAAATGTTCAGAAACCTTCGAAACGTCGAGAAATGCAAAAATTTTCGATTTCGATTTTTGGACGATTACAATAACTTACCCTACGGGAAGTTAATAAAATTTCAATATCTGCAATACATACCTCATGAAAATCCATCTACGTTTGCATTATGTGACTAATAATTTTACAAGATATGATGGCTTTTCGATATATCGATATTAAATTATATTCAACCACACTATTCCTTCTGATTTATACTGCAACGCATAAAATGCATAAGTATGAGTTGGAAGGATACAGAAATATAAATGGACTTTCTTTTGCCAAAACAATAAAACCAAAAACCACAATGACGTACTTAGCAACCATTGTACTGAGAAACTTATCTCTTAGAAAAATGAATCATGATTCATTTTTTGTATTATTGGAAATTTATCGATAAATGAATAAATTATATGTTAATTATTTAGATTGATTTAATATAAAATCAATCAACAAATCCAGTAAAATAAATTTTCATCACCACGTTATATGTAGGTAAATAATAAATTTAATTCGTTGTAATTCAATTTTATCATGATTTACAACTTTATATATATATATATATATATATATATATATATATATGTAGAAGTATAATTCAGAAAAATATAAATATTTACCTGGTCAGTCTAATGAGAGCCAATTAATCGCATTATTGTTTTTCCAATAATTAATTCAATGTTTTTGATTTGCAGCAACTTGTAATTTAATAATTAATAAATACTATGGAAATACTACAATAACAATAAATAAATAATATTCATATTGTTTATTTTGATCGCACTGCGTTTCCGAAATTCAGAGTTGAAGGTTGATTATATTTACATGCGCGAAAATACGCGAACGCATTCGCGTAAATTAGCACAAAGTTGTATTACAAGGAGAAAAATATTTAATTTCTTAAAAACCAAATTCACGAACAAAAATCTAAAACATCCCTAAAAATGATAGAAAATGATAAAGTCTTATAATGTGAATCAATAAAATTTGATTCAAATGATCATCCTAAAATCTATTTTCTTCAACCAAAACGTAAGAATTACATAAAGCTTTAAATATATTACTAATTTTATATGGTTATTTTTAACACAATTGATTAATTTTTTATTCCAAAAATTATTGGACAAAAGGCGGTTTGTACTTAGGATTATATTTGCGATATATAACCTCAAGTAGAAAGTCTATATCATACTGTTTGATATCGAGCTGACCGATGTCAATATATAGAATTTTAAATCAGGAATGTTTAAAATAAAAAAAAATATTTGAAATTTCAGAAGTTCAAACTAACTAAATTAAGTAGTTGTCAGATTAAATTACTAATGTATGCATTAATACAATTTGAATATACATAAATGAGTGATTATGATTATTATTTTTTGGTTAGCGGAAAATATTTGTGTATGTTAGGAAAAAATCTTTGTCAATAACAGACTAACTAATTTGAAAAATGATGCATACATTTTTAATAATCTCGAAGAGCGTTGGTAAAGAGTCTGAACAAGGTTTCAGGTTGAAATCTTATCACAATCTGATATCAAACAGCAGTGATATCCACTTTTACTCGAATATGAATCTAGTAATCATCCACGAAAAATTGTAGCCGCACATACATACATAAACCCGCGCATACACACACATACATACATCTATTTGTTTTAAGCTATACCAAAATGTTCAGAATCCTTTGAAACGTAAAGATATATAAAAAATTAACTTTTTGGAAGTTAAAAAACTCAAATCACCATCGAAGTTACTCAAACTACTCATAAATTACCTTCAAAACTATTGTAATTGAAATAAATGATACGTATAAAAATGTGCTAAAACTAAAGAGGTAGATTTATTGAATTCGCAAAAAATCGAAAATAAAATTTTTGATGTATCTTTACGTTTCTAAACCTTCTGAACATTTTGGCATACCTTAAAAAAAATTATGTGTGTGTGTATGAGCTTTTTTGTTTAGCTAAGGACATGCGTTTATGCATTCCAGGCTGGGTCTTTTGTCCGGGTATGTCGAACCCAATACCGCCTGGGTATAATATCGACTAAAACATCCACTTCTCTCAAAAAAACATTCAGTTTCTATTAATAATGAGACGTGCTGATTAGCACTTGGCTGAGGCAGGTCCAGCCGTTTTGTAGATGGGTTGCAAAAAATTTTAAACTAGTGGGGCGCATGGCATCGTGCCTCAAGGCAAATGGCTGAAACTTCCCGTAACAAAAATTATTTTTTCAAAAAAGATTAACATTTTTGAAAAAAAATACTCTAAAAAATTAGATTTTTGAGAAACTATACATTTTTGACCAAAATTTACTTTTTTTTGAAAAAAAACAAAACTTTTTGAAAAACTTAGTTACCGTTTTTGGCACTTTTTGCCTCATATCTTCGGAACCGCTTGACCTGCCTTCGCCAAAAACTAATCAGCACGTCTTATTATCAATGCGTATCGAATGTTTTTTGAATTATTAAAATCGGTTAATCGGTGTTCCCGAAATCGTCGACGAAAATTTGTATCCGCACATACACGCACACGCACACACACACATACATTCATTTTTTCTAAGGTATGCCAAAATATTCAGAATCCTTTGAAACGTAAAGATATATGAAAATTTTCATTTTCGATTTTTTTGCGATTACTATAACTTGCCTTACGGGAAGTTAATTACGATACGGGAAGTTCCAGCAATTTGCCTCAAAGCACGATACGATGCACCACTAGTCATAAGATAAGTACTATCCCAAAGAGTTCATCTCGTTGTACCTCCTCTTTTAGACATTCCACGACGCCATCAGCTGTTCCTTTGACAACTGCGCGTCGGTGTTTGTGTTTAACTAATTTCGAATTCCCTGTACGTTTCCACGAACATTAAATAGCATTCGCAATATCGCGAACACGCGGACATTAAATGGACTCATTGTTATGTGTGATTAATCGCTCGAATTATACGCGCCGAACGTTTTGTATTTTATAATTTTATCGACATTCCCATGTAATGCGCCGTGAGCAGATGAAGCAGATGAATCTGCATTTGGCAGTAATGGAATTTTATAATAAAAAATTCATTCTTTTGTTGCTACTTTTATTCATTATTAATTAACTTGGATATATGCATAAAACCTCTGAATGTTTCATCAAAAGAAAAATGGAAAAAATGAGATTGCGTTCATAGATTCCTGAATTATTAACATAAAATGTAACTAGTTGGGTGTATGGCATCGTGCCTTAAGGCAAATTGCTGCAACTCCCGTACCGTAACAAAATGTTCGAGGAATACTGAATGTTTTCAAATAGATTATTATAAATATTGAAACATTGTCTAATATTTATAAGAATTATATAAACTGAATTGCAAAGTTGAAATTATTTGTTTAAAGTGTATTAGAACTATAGTCAGAATTAAAAATAAAATCTGAATTATTTTTGACATACAATTTTTTTTTTCCAAAATCAATTATTTTGTTAAGACAAGCAGAAAGTTCTTTGAATCATTTAAATCTGACGCTTAGTCCTCTCAAAAACTGCCATTTTTTGCACATTTAGCTCCGAATCTTCGAAATGTCTGGGCCTGCCTATGCCAAAAACTAATAAACACTTTTCCCAATCATTACTAATTGAATATTTTTTAGATTATTCAAATCGGATGCTCCGTTCTCTCAAAAACTCGATTCCTATTTTCTGCACTCTTTGCTCTTTATCTCCGTAACTGCTGGACCTGCCTTTGCCAAAAACTAGT